GGAAATCCCTGACACAAAAACAGGTTGTCAAAATATGAAACAACAGCCCAATAACCTAATGCCCCTGTGAGGATTAAAGATCCTTTTATCTGTAAAATCCTCTTCTACAGTCTTCAAAATAAGCTATTATTCATATCTTTTGCCCTTTCATCCTTTAATATATGGCTCCTAGTCTGTCATAAACTTGGCAGGAATTAAGTCTGGGAAATATTCTAATATTTATAACATACTTTGATTTATTCATTCAACCTGCTAACCTATAATGAGATTTTGTTGTGTCAGATACTGTGCGCCTTAACTTCTAGACCTATCCAAGTAAATAGGACATAGCCCCTGCCCTGAAGGAGTTCAAATTAAGGAGGGGGGACAAAAGGACCACAATAAAGTATGGTGAGTATTATTACAAAGGAATAAAGTTTCTAGAAGTAGAAAGGGAAAAAAAGCAATTAGCAATCAAGATTTTAGTGGTTTGACAAAGCAGATGATATTTAAGCTGGGTCTTGAAGCATAAGTTAAAGTTTACAAGGTAAAAGCTGTGCTCAGGCAAAGGGGAACAACTGGATGAGAGGCACAGAAGAATAAAAAGGTGTGGCATGTTGACATGAGAGGTCCACCCACCACATGACTGGAGAAGAGGAATGAAACCAAAATGTAGAGCACTATGCTCAACATTGAGAGTTCAAGAGCAAACACATAGTGTCTGCTCTCAAGGAGGTTGATGGTGTCAAAGAAAAGGATTCTACTTTACTGTGGGAGGTGGCTAAGACAAAAGAATGGTCAGGATACCAAAGGAAAACATGAAAAAGGAGCTTTTTCATTTTTTAATTTTTTTTTAACGTTTATTCACCTTTGAGACAGAGAGAGACAGAGCATGAGCGGGGAAGGGGCAGAGAGAGGGAGACACAGAATCCGAAGCAGGCTCCAGGCTCTGAGCTGTCAGCACAGAGCCGGAGGCGGGGCTCGAACTCACAAACTGCAAGACCATGACCTGAGCCGAAGTTTGACACTCAACTGACTGAGCCACACAGGCGCCCCAGGAGCTTTTTATTTTTTAATGTTTATTTATTTGGCGGGGGGGTGGGGCAGAGAGAGAGGGAGACAGAGGATCCGAAGTGGGCTCTCTGCTGACAGAGTCAGATGTTTAACTGAATGAGCCACCGAGGTGCACCTGAAATAAGAGCTTTTATACCATATTCAGAAAAGTGAGCTGGATCCAGCTGGGGATAAGAAGTCACTCAGAGATCTGAGTTGTATTTTGTACATCAGTTGGAGGTGCAAAGGAAGGGAGGAGAGACTCAAAGCACAGAATCAATTAGGAGGTTACAATAGTAATCCAGAGAAGAGATTAAGGGTTAGGAAAACTAAGACAGAAGCAATAGTACAGCCAGGACAGATTTCAACAATACTGAAAATTATTTTCTCATCTGTTATATAAGCTAAGCATTAGGGATAGAACAGTGAACAAGCAAACAGTCTTTATGCTTAAAAGTACATAGGCTAGGGCGCCTGGGTGGCTCAGGTGTTAAGCATCTGACTGGCTCAAGTCATGATCTCACTGTTCATGAGCTCAAGTGCCACATTGAGTGAGCTGAAGCCCTGGTTCAGGTGAGCTTGTGCCCCGCTTCTCTCTCTTTTCCCCTCACTCACTTGCGCCCTCTCTCTCTCTCTCAAAAAAGAGTACATAGGCTATTGAGAGATCCAAATAAAATAGACAATTATAATAAAGTATGGTAAATGCTATGACTACTATAAATATTAAAACCATGTAAGATTTGGTAAGTATGAGGGTTGGAAGGTAAACAAGTCAGAGAAGGCCCCCTCTTCCAGAAGAAGTGATGTCTAAGATGGGATCTGAAAGATCAGGAGGAGGTGACCAGGCAAAGGAGACAGAAAGGTAGGAGTGATTTCAAGAAACATTTCAAAGACAGAAGAAAAAAGAGGAAGAAAAATCTCAGATTTCTAGCCTGAGTGACTAGATAAATGGTGATGTCACTGAGAAAGGCAAATAAACGAGACAAGGATAGTGGTCAGGGGAAGATTAGGAAGTCATGTCCTACTGGACATTCTCTAGTAGGCAAATGAAAATACAGGTCTTGGGCTCAGGTGGGAGATACAGGTATTTGAAAAGATTATGGTATTAAAACTATTTCTTTTTACGTTAATGGTCTTTTTATTGGAAAAAAAAAAAAGACTAACATTTACAACTTGGAACAGACACGAAGTTTAATTACTTGAACAGCTGTTGATGGTTGTGCTGAAGTCTGCAGTTACAGCCTACTCTGCTGACTCCAAGTCATGGTTCAGAAGGTTTTAAAAACAATTCAAAGATGCTCCCTCAGTAAAGGTTTCTTTTTAAAAATTTGTGTGAACGGTGACACCTCTAGTACAATGTGGATAACACTAAACCAATATGCATAGCATGCCATCAGGATGTGTATCATCGTCACCATGGGTCAGGGCACATGGAAGTACAAGAGGACCATCCTGCTAAGTGAAGCTACAAGTAAACCAGTTTATCCTTCACCCATTTTTCTGCACAGCATGCTGACATAAGCCAATTTTAACTGTTAGTTTTGAATAAACCAGTTATGACAATTTATACTCACAAACTGAACTTGAATCTATCTGAATAGGTTTTAAATTTGTTTTTTCATTTTTCATTTTCAATACAAATGCCTGACTGTGCTCCATTGTCAAGTCGTACACATGAAAAACTGGCCAGCCCAAACAGCATATTAATCATTAGCAGTGGAACTGCAAGGAGTCCACTAAGTGCTTCCTTATCATTAATGTAGTACAAGTATTTATATTATAAAACTACTGTGTAGCTTGATCTTTAGGGGACAGGACCACCAGGCAATACATGAAGATTCTGTGTGTGTGGACATGAGGTATTTTTGAAGGTTTTATTATATAGAAAACAGAAGGAGTAAATGAGCTTGTTTTTTTGTTTTTTGTTTTCCCAAGAGGTAAAGTAAAAGATTCTATTTCATTCTTCTGGGGAAGGGTGGGGAAAAGGAATTGAAAGTAGGTCTTCATCTTGCGGTCATTATCTGTACGAATTCTTCATAGTTTACTTGTCCATCTCCAACAATATCTGCTTCTCTGATCATCACATCCACTTCTTCATCCGTTAGTTTTTCTCCCAAGTTTGTAACAACATGACACAGTTCTGCCACATGGATATAACCATTGCTATCCTTGTCAAAGACTTGTAATGCCTCACCAGCTTCTTCTTCACTGTCTGTATCTTTCATTTTTCTAGCCATCATAGTAAAAAATGGTGCCATTACCGTCAGCCTCCACCTTTTTGATCATGTTCTGCAATGTGGCTTCTATAGGGTTCTGGCCCAGTGACCTTCTGACAGTTCCAAGTTCCTTTGTTGTGATGGTGCCAATCACCATCTTTGTCAAACAGGGAGAAAGCTTCCTTGGACTCAGCAATCTGTTCTTCAGTCCGTTGATCAGCCATGATATAAACGAAGGGAGGAAGAACAGAGGGAGCAAGGGTGGCAGCACCAGCACAGGGGCTGGAAGGGTTGGTGGGGACGCCTCTGCTTCTGCTTCTGCTGCTGCTGCTGCTGCTTAGGCTCAGTGCACAGTCAGCACTATGTCTCTGCCTCCACAGACTCCAAGTAATGGCACTGTGCCCGCGAGGCTCCAAGCACCACTGCCCTGACATTACAACTATTGCTTTTCCTTCTTGAAGTTAAAAATATCATGCTAATTTAATCTGATTGACACAATTAAATACCTATATAGAAAATGTTGAAGGAATTATATTAAAAAAAATTTTTAATGACAAAAGACATCCTGCCTCAAGCTCTCAATGTCTTATATTTTCAACTAGAAACAACTTTGTGAACCAGACATGGAAATGTCTCATTTTCTGACTAATAACAAAGAACATTCTTTACCCAACTAACTCTTTGGGTTATATACAGCTTTTCTTATCTACTTTGATTTTCAATGCTCAAAACAAAATATTATTCTAAGGAACATACAGTCTTTTCATTATCCTTTTCTGTATTTTCCAAATGTTTACAAGTATGCATAACTATCACTGAGAGGGGAAAAATAAATTTGTAAAGCACCATATTCATTATATACTCATTACAATTCCATATTATGTATTGTTTGTTTGCAGGTTTGGGCCCTGCACTAAAATTAAATATCTTCATCTAAAAACCAACAAATAAGGGGCGCCTGGGTGGCTCGGTCGGTTAAGCGTCCGACTTCGGCTCAGGTCATGATCTCACAGTCCATGAGTTCGAGCCCTGCGTCGGGCTCTGTGCTGACAGCTCAGAGCCTGGAGCCTGTTTCCGATTCTGTGTCTCCCTCTCTCTCTGCCCCTCCCCTGTTCATGCTCTGTCTCTCTCTGTCTCAAAAATAAATAAACGTTAAAAAAAAAAAATTAAAAAAAAAAACCAACAAATAAGAATGGGCTAATCTTTTGTCAAATAACAATTTAGTAAAGGCCATAAACAAAATTTGTTTAAATTCTTTTTTCCTGTTTTATAGTTATACTCATCATATCCTGATATATTAAAAAACAATTTAAAGGCTGAAGAGCAGTACTATGGCACAGAAAAAAATGTTACAATAACAAAAACCAAGATTTATAATGCACTATCTTGAAGAGTGGTGATATAGTGACCTAATACAACCATTTACAAAAGTGAGTTTTAGCAACCATAATTTTAGTATGGGTTGATAGTCTCATTATGACATTACTAGAGTTGACAGATGATGGAAGTTTGCCTACACTGCAGATCTTACCTCAAATAAAAGCCTAGGAAAAATATGTTCATAAATGCCAAATCATGTATAAGTGTTTTACACATTTATACAATGTGACTACAACCTAAAACCTAACAAGTTTCACAGATTCCCAATTCAAGAACGATTAAATAAAGTAGCATTTACCAAGATACACATTAGAAACAGAAAAGTGTGTGTGTATATGTTTATACAGTCAACTTGAATTTTACTTTACATACCTCTGTAGGTCAACTATTTCATTGTTAAGGGTATCTAGCTCCTTAATAGCAGAGAAATCTGCAACAGGACTTGATCCTATGATGTTCTAAAAACAAAAAGTTCACAATTATAATGTTATTACTATGAAATTATATATGGTGAAGCATTAAAAATTTTTAAAAGCACTACATGGATGCAGACTACTCCATATTTTACAGTACTACTAATACTTTCAATTTATTTACGAAAATCATATCTAGTGCAATTTTTTTTTTAAATTTTTTTTTCAATGTTTATTTATTTTTGGGACAGAGAGAGACAGAGCATGAACGGGGGAGGGGCAGAGAGAGAGGGAGACACAGAATCGGAAACAGGCTCCAGGCTCTGAGCCATCAGCCCAGAGCCCGACGCGGGGCTCGAACTCACGGACCGCGAGATCGTGACCTGGCTGAAGTCGGACGCTTAACCGACTGCGCCACCTAGGCGCCCCTCTAGTGCAATTTTATACACACACACACACACACACACACACACACACACACACACACACAGTTATGTACTGAGACATTTTCCCTTAAATTCTCTAAAAGCTGTTGCTCTACAATAGGTGCCAACACTTCAGATCCCAAAGTCTTTGTCACTTGATCCTAGTGCCTGTTTAAAACATTGAAGTAAAGCAGGTATCAGATTTATAAACTACTTCCTCCACTGAAGAATACATTTCTTGGGGAGATGTAGGGTGGCTTTATTTGTACTTGTGTCATCTGGCACAAAGTAAGTAAACAAATTTTGGTGAATCTCAGAACCATAATGGTAGTTGATTATATTCAATTCAACATTTACTTTTGTTAAACAATTTTAATGCCTACCCTATTTAAAGTAAAACCAATTGCTCAGCATGTTCCATAGTAAATATTAATATCGCCATATATGAAACTATCTTCATATATGACATCCTTTACATATGGTTTTCTTTCAGTAATGAAAGTGTCAAACTTGGTCTCTGAAAGGCACCTGTATTTAGAAAATCTAGCTGGGTTTATTCTGGGATCTGCCATCCTACTAGCTGCATGATTTTACTGTAAAATAGGGAAATAATCTCTTCCCTGCCCACTTTAAAAATTAAATGAAATAAATATTGTATGTAAAGTCACTCCAAAACTTTATGACATTTTATAATTGTAAGGTATTATTATAATTAATTTCCTCCAACAGAATATGCTCTTAAGATGGATGACCTCCCAATGAGTTGTTTCCACCCTGGCTCAATCCTCCTTTGTGAACCATTTCTGATGCCTTTTATAGCCGCCTGAAGTCAGGGCAAGAAGGTAACTGCTTCTTCAGACACCTGACCTATCCCCAGTGCTACAATCAGACTGACAAATAACAAAATAATCACCATTAAAAATTGTTAAAATTGAGGCCTGAACATGTAAAACTAAAGTATACTAAGGACCTTATTAGCAGAACATAAAACTTAGTATTATGAACTTAATGTATGTCACCAACTTGGACAACAGAAAAAGAAACCTAAAAGTTCATAATATCCCATCTCCTCACATTCATATGACGATTTACAATTTACCAAGCACTTTCAAATCCATTAATCAATTTTCAAAACTAACCTGAAAACTGGGTTGTAGCAGTTATTATTATTACTAACTCAATTTTAGAGCTAGGGAACCAGATTAAATGACTTGCTTAAAGTTGAACCCAGCTAAAAAGGACCCATTGATTAGGAGACCTCTGGTTAAATTCAAGTCTATTTCACACAATGCCCCTTGGCACTTGCATATCAAGATCATTTAAGGTAAATGAAACCATTACCCTAAAAGCCAACGTGATAAACAGGTATGTCAATAAAATGTGGCAAATAATTCCTTCCATTTTTTCAGCACACTGCATTATTAGTCCTCAGATGTTTTGTTTTGTCTATCACTACCAAAATTCAATACCAAAATTCATCTATTAGGATTCAATTAATGCTAGTCTCAATTTCATATTAACCATAGTAAGTAAATGCACCTCTTACTGTTTTACTGTGTTTCACTAATATACAGACCCTTATCATCCTAAATTAAATCAGAAATTTTAAAGTGGATTTCTGAACATGACAAGTATTCACTAGGATTTTAAATCTGTCTAAATTTGACTTATGAGCTAGGTTACCTGGCCAGACAGTTTGACAGTTGAGTAAAATGAAAAATTAGCACATGATCTCACTTTTACCACCAAAAGCAACTTACATCACCTAAATGCTACTGAGAAATCTGCTATGAAAGGTGCAAGTATACCAAGAAACTCATGACTTCCACACCTCTTCTGTCACTCTAACTCAAAAAATGTGATTCACAGCTGACAGTCTTTCACTATCAAAAATATCATCAAATAAGAAGGAGACAAATAAATTTAACCTCAAACAAGTTAGAAGGGGATACCACAGATGACTCTAGAAGGAAGATTAGTGTACTGTAGTTGGTATAGCTTGTGTCACTCCTCAATTATTAACAAAGAAATTAAACTCCCATTCTAAAGTAATAAAATGGCATGCAACAAGGAACATGGAAAAACTTTAGCTAATAGCATCTGAAGTATAAGAAGGGCATATGGAGAAAAATGTAGCATGTTCCCTTCTTTCAAAATATTTTCTCTCACCCTATTTTGTGCATTACACAAAAATTCCACTTTGGTGATATTAAGTGGATTAAAGAGCCTAAGGAAGGCAAGCTAAAATGCATACAAGGACCAAGTGACAGACATGTGACAAAATCATGCTGTTTAAGTATTTTCTCTGCATCAACTTTGCCGCTTAAAAAGCCTCTAATTTCAAAATTGTAAACCAAAAACTGTAATGCTAAAAAAGGCATAAAGTAAAGCTCTAACCTTGAGAGAGTAGAGTTAAGAAACTGACAGTACAAGAAAGGCGAAAAGCAGAGTGCTGCAGAATGGAAAAAATAGTCCAAACTAGAAAAAACACAGAAAGCAATATTCAAAAAAACATTAGTCAAAGCTGCAAAAAAAATGCAGTTCTAAAAAATTTAGATTATAAAGAGAAAAGAGATTATTCAAGAGACAAAACAAATGCAAATTTTTAATATATAAGGTTAAAAATTGTGATTAATAGATAATAGTGATAAAATCCCATTTTAATGTGTAATACTGATATCTAACATAAATAGACAAAGTTATCTATGTTCTAGTGAATGGACTTCAGACAAATCTATTAAAAACTCTGCACAGCAGATGCAACCTGGAGTGTCTACTAATGTTATAGACTTAACTGAACAAACATAATTTCAGAGAGTTTTGTCATTATCTGTAATTTGTATTGCTGAGAGACTTAGTGGGTATAAGATAAAGGTGGCAAGGGGAAAAAAGTCTGCATAGGTGAAAAAAGGGAAGAAACAACTGAAATACAGGTATTGTAGAGAGCACACACATAAATTTGTAACCTTTATCTTTCTGGGTGGCATCACTTTTAGCTTTCTCCACAACTTGGGAGATCCATGTCCTACATCACAAAAAATCTCAAAACCTTCACAAAATGTGCCCCTCCCCCACCAAACTCACAAAATAGATAATCAAATATTTATTTTATTAAAAAATAAGAACAAAACTCTTAGGAGTAACTTCTGTACCTGGTGGCTATAAATTTCCATTTAGTTGACTTTGGGGAAAAATCCAATTTTGACTTTTACTAGGTTAAAATGGGATTTTTTAAAACCTATGTGACAAAACTAATGCAAACTAAAATATTCTCCTGACATTTCCAAGACAGCTCTCCTTACACCACACATTTGACAACTCTTACTATATCTAACTCTGAGGAATCACCACAGCAATAATTGCTTTATAGGTACAAGAGATTTAAAGATACAAAGCATGTATTCTTAAAGGCAAACAGCCATTAGACAGTGTGAGTCCTTTTAAAGCTCTATTAAGGGCAAGACACTGTAAATATACTATGCTAGGAAGGATTTCTAGAGGAAAAGAGAAAAATCAAGGCACAGCAAGGCTAAATAAAACAATGTAGTTTTGAAAATTCCCATCGCTGGCCAGAAACCTGGCTGAAACCTGCTGGTCACTGTTTAGATGTGAGATTTTGGCCATATCCTCAGGAAATGAAGATCATCTATGTGGCAAAAACCACACAGATTTCTTCTCAACATGATGTTTTTCTTGTTTATATGTAAAATTGACACCAAGAAATAATAATCTTCCAGATTTTGTTTTCAAATTCCTATTTTCTGTAAGAGTGAATCATCAAATGAAACAAAGTAATTCCTATAGATTTCATTTAAATTTTATACCTTATTCATAAAAGTTAATTCACAAATCCAAGAGGGGTAAAAAAGACCACATTTTTCCACTTTTTACGTTGGAAAATATGGTTGCTATATATGTAATGAATGTTGGGGTAAATGAGCTGCAGTCCAAGGATGTCATACAAGGCATTTGAACATATTTATAGACACAAACTAAACCACAAACAGTATACTGCTCTGCTCCTAGCCAGATACATTTTCTCCACTATTTCCTACAAATCAAGTCTGTCATCTAACACAGCACTTGGTCCTTTCTGTTAATACATTCAGGTTTTCTTTTAAGTTGTCTTACCTTCTGTAAACTGGCCCTGTCTGATGGTGGAACCATCTCAGGAGTAAGAATGTGAGGAGGATCAATGCCCTTTATTAACTTTTGATTGATTAAGTGAAAAGCCAAGGCAAACTGATCCTTTGAAAGCTTCCCACAGTCCTTTGTGTCACATAATGTCCTGTACAAATAAACAAAATGAACAGAATATAAATGCTACAACTACCATTCTAAAAATCCAGGAAAAATGTAATAGGACTAGGTAGCTTCTTAAAAATGATCAGTTGAATTAAAAAAGAAAGTCATAACTTTTTGGGTATGGCTTGCCCAAAACTCACTCAAATGTTAGAAGAGAGAGATCAGCTAAAAGTTTTAAGAGAAAGAGAATGTTCACCCTGGTGCTGAGCAGAGGTCTCTAATATGAATTTGCTTTGTGCTTTCTCACCAATTTCCAGAACCATTACAGGTTAAGAGTCGTAGTGGGCCAAAGAATCCCAACATTCTAAATATTAAAAGATGTTAAAAATGAAACCGAAGTCTCAACAAATTTGGTTCATTAGTGGCAGTAGAATGATTCTAAACCAAGCAAACATTTCCATGTTGGCTTGTCTCCTGCAACTCTTGGGAATAGGCGGATATAAGGATCACCAAGTCAAAGTAGAAACAACAGCTGCAAATGGAGTTCATATGTGAAGAGAAGGAAGCAATCTGGAAAGCTTTACAAAATCACTTAAAGAGAAACAGCAAATGTTTTATCCTATTTTTCTTTTTCTTTCTTCCTTTCTTTTTTCTTTTGTTAAGCTCAGCTTTCTGAAGTCCTGATCCATTTCATTCATTTAAAGGCAATGTGGCCTGATGAACAGACTGTGGGCTAAAGTGTCAAAGAAACCCTGAATTCCAGCTTCTCTACTTATTTCTTCTTGTGATCTTGGACAAATTTTTTTAACCTCTTCAAGCCTTAGTTTCTTCATCTATAAAGTAGAGAAAAGACATATCCTGCAAGGTTACAGTGAGAAGTAAGGCAAAGTACATAAAAACTCTGGGCATAATGCCAACAAACAAGCCCATGACAGCTGCCATTTATTAAGTACACTGCCTAGACTAGGCACTTGAAAGTGGCAGCTATTATTAGTTATACATATTTAATCTTTCCTAGTCTTGAGTTCTTGTTCCTCTTAAGGCAGATCTACTGTCCTCCTTTGTTCTTTTCTAAGTTTCTCTATGCAGCTATGTGGTTCCACACCTGATATTTGCTGCCCCTTGAAAACCTCAAGATAACCTCTGGTATAGTCAGGTGGACTGGCAGCAGGCACACTATAAATGTTCATATGTATTGTCTCATTTAATGTGAAATTCACTAGCGACACTAAACTTCATGTTTTTAAGGACCAGGTGTGTAATTCCTATGTAAACGTATAAAAGTATACATATACCCTACAGAATTATGTGAGCACACGTTGAAGACACTGTTTTTTATATTGCTTACATTTCAGATTTTTGGATTCTCCCTTAAAAATTTACGTTTAGGGGTGCCTGGGTGGCTCAGTCAGTTAAGTTTCTGACTTCGGCTCAGGTCATGATCTCCCAGTTCATGGGTTCAAGCGCCGCATCGGGCTCCATACTGACAGCTCAGAGCCTGGAGCCTGCTTCAGATTCTGTGTCTCCCTCTCTCTCTGTCCCTCCCCCACTCACGCTCTGTATCTCTCTCAAAAATAAATAATAAACATTAAAAAAAATTTAAGTTTAGTTGATATAAACAGATGCTGCATTTTAACATTTTAATAATCATTAACTGATACTGTCAATCTTATAACAGGTAATCCATTCTCAAACTTTTGTCCATTATCCAAAAGAAATCTCCAGATTTAAATTTTCTCCATAAAGAATTTTGAAACAAAACTGTCCGATTTATAAATGCCTAAAGATAAGAATGCACAAAACTAGAGTTATACAAAACCATATTTTTTAAATCAATTTAAATAAAATCTTACCAAATATGGGCTAGTAAAGTAGAAGGTAAACCTGTCTTCAGGAAAATTTCACGGACTTCCAATCCAGACACAAATCCATCCATATCTTTATCAGTTTTCAAGAAGATCTCATCATATTTAGCCTTTTCTGCAGGGGCTACAACCCACTACAGGAAAACAAAACAAAACAAAACATGTATGCATACACACACACACATATACACACACACACACACGTAAAATTTTTGTCAGAATGAGAAAAAAATTGAGGTGTCATTCTTTCAACCCATGACAGTATCTGTAAAAATTCTGAGCAACTCTACCCCACTAACTATAACAACAGTGTACCATTTCCATCACACCCTAATCAAAATGCTGTGGTGAAAAGAAAATTACAGAAGGAAAGTATAGGTCAGCTGGGACTACATTTACAGATGCCCTTTTTACTTTTTCCTTAAAAGTAATGAGTAAATTCAAGCATAGTTAACTCTTGACTTATGAATAACCACATTAATATGGGTAACTGGGAAAGTCTATATAAACAAAATATTCAGTTAATTCTCAATCTTCATTTTTTATAATTTCATTCAGCATTCTTAAATGTAGCTGAACTGGCTGATTTGCATATTCTGTCATTATTTTCCTTTACTCAGCCTGAGAAGCAGCAGGCTGGAGGAAAAAAAGGCCTTAGACAACCCAAAATTGGATAATCTGATCCCAAAGAATCAAGAGTTAACTGGGGATTAAAAAAACAAAACATCTATTAACTATACCCAGGCAAGCATGCCAGATTAGCATGGAGTATCTTCTGTCTCCAACTTTAATTCCAGGTAGATCAAGGCAAAGCCAATAAAACATCCATATACCTAAGTAAGGCCAAATGCAGGAGAAGATTTATCTGTCTTCTCCAAGACATCACATTATGTAGGTTTAACCAGAGGGTGCTCTAAATCTTTGATCCCTTTGATTGCTCCTTCTATCTTCATCAAGCAATCAACTGTTAAATGCCATGCACTTAAAAAAAAGTCCTTTAACACTGATAGATCTATACCTGTCTTAATGGTGCTTTGGTAGGTAAAATGCCTACAGGTGGTAAGGAGTGGTAAGGTTCCTTGGCTGATGCTGAAGAGGGGATCAACCGCACAGAGCCTGATATACTGACCGTTTTTCTCTTAGAAGGTGGCACCAAGGCAGGAGGCAAGGACATTGGCACAGGTTCTTTCTCCAATGCGCAGTATACCAAAAACATGGCCTTCAAGAGAGATGAACCAGGGTCATATATATTAAAATCATTTAACAACATACACCCACTAAATAGATTACTGTTTAAAAACAAAGCATCTTCAAGCTGTCACACATTCTTTTTTTTAGAAATTAGAGTGGGAAAAAAAGAAGGAGGAAAAGAGAGAGAGATGAAAGGAAGAAAGGAGAAAAGGAAATAAATCAAAGTTAAGCAACTGTTAGAAAGATATCCAGAGCAGCAAAAACTCAGACACATACCCTTCAACTGAAGTTCTTGCAATGTTAAAAGCATACAATCAGGGGAAAAGGTATTTGTAAAGAAAGAGCTAATCTCCTAAAATGAGTCCCTAGAAATTAACAGAAGCAAAAAAAAAAAAAAAAAAAAAAAATCCAATAGGAAAATGGGCAGAAGAGTATAAACAGATATTTTACAGAAAAGTATTATGAATGGCCTATCCTTTAACATACAAAAATATGCTCCCTTTCACTCAAAAGAAAACTTCAAGTTAAAACGATATTAAAATACCATTTTCCACTTAATGGCAAAAATCCCAAGTTTCAATTTTTTTTTTTTCAACGTTTATTTATTTTTGGGACAGAGAGAGACAGAGCATGAACGGGGGAGGGGCAGAGAGAGAGGGAGACACAGAATCGGAAACAGGCTCCAGGCTCTGAGCCATCAGCCCAGAGCCTGACGCGGGGCTCGAACTCCCGGACCGCGAGATCGTGACCTGGCTGAAGTCGGACGCTTAACCGACTGCGCCACCCAGGCGCCCCCAAAATCCCAAGTTTCATAATGTACTTTGTTAACTAGACTGTGCAAATAGGCCCCCTCAGACATTGCTCATGGGAGCTCAAACTGTACCAAGCCTATGAAGGGCAAATTGGCAACAACTACCAAATTTATTTACTTCTCCTTTGGCTCAGCAATCCCCCATCTGGGAATCTACCTTCAGACTTACCTGCCTACATAAAAAAACACTATGTGAAAAAGATTATTAAGAGTAGAATTATATGAATCAGCACCCAAGTCCTCAACACAAAAGACTGGTTTAAAAAAATTATGGTACATCTATACAATAAAATACTATGAAACAAAAACAGAAACAAAACCAACAAACAAAAAACCATGGCAAACATGCTCTATCCTAACTGGGATACCTTCACCTTCACAAATACATAAAACTATCAAAACTCATCAAATTATATACTTAAATTGAATGCAATTCACTATATGTGGTCCTCAATAAAGCTGACCCAGAAAAAAAAAAAAAAGAATTATGTAGACTTCTCTATGTGAAAAGATATCCAAGTACAGTGTTAATGTATAAAACAGTGTATACAGTGTGTTATCTTTTGTGGTAAGGAGGTGGTAATTATTAATATGTACTTACATTTACATTTCAAAATTCTACTGGTATGAACAAGAAACTAAGAAAAGTGGTTGGTTATAGAGTAGGTATAAATGGAGAACTGAGGGAAAGGATGGAACTGACATTTTTTCCCACGGAGTATCTTATACTGCACTGATTTCTGAACCATGAGAATATATTAGCTATTAAAATTATTTTTAATTACTAAATACATAAAGATTTGCATAAAGCATTCTACATATAGAATGCCCCAGGATACTCCCTTCATTTTAAAGAATTCAAGACACCTTCAAGACTTTCAAAAGATAAAGTTTCCGTGACAATCTTCAAGCATATGAAATTACTCAAAGCAACTTGGAACCTCCAAAAAAATTCCAACAGCAACTGGAAGGAAGCTTAACTACTTAATTATTTTGTTTCCACTGAAAATGACATTTTTCCCTGAAAAGAAGTTTGCTTCCAATTCTAAGTTTTATGAGCCTTTCAAATTAGTATTGATTGAACACCTAATACAATAACACTCATCCATGATTTATGATTACTAATATTTTATATATGAGGAAACTGAAGCTGAGAAATACTAACTTGCCTGATATTTTTTAAGAAATCATAGTATAGGGTTCAAAGCAAGGTCTGGCTACAAAGCTCTTATTTTCCCCAGATTTGGTCAGCTGCATTAGGGAACCCATGTAATTTTACAATACCATGCTGTCCTCTACAGGGGCTAAAACTAACCTTCCACCCTTTGGGACCCAAATTATAGAAGGTATCAGAATTACCTGGACAACTTTATAAAGCACAGATTTCTGGGCTCCATTCCCAGAATTCTACAATCATTAAGTCTGGGTTGGGCCAAATATTTTACATTTCTAAGAAGTTTCCAAAGATGCTGATGCTCTTTGTCCTGGGACCACATTTAACCATTTGACCCAAACCAAGAACTCTCCTCTCCCCATTCATTAGTCAACTTGAAGAATTCAATTTAGTTTTAGAAAAACACAAACTTTAATTCTTCAAAAGCTTGAAACTCCAGAGTGAAAACAATCTGGCTAGCACATACTTTCAACCAAATTCACGAAATGTGTAATATTATTAAATTGGCACTGAGCTAAAAGAAGTGACTACCATGCACATTAAAGGTCAGCATTCCTCTTGCTGCAGATGGGAGTCATTTCCTGGAAAAAGTAGACACTAGAAGCAAAAAAGCTATGTCAGCTATCCGCTGCCAATAGACAACACATTTTTTGAAAGTTAAAAAAAAGTATCATTAATTTGATGTTGCCTTGAAAATAGTTTCCCTCAGAAAACTGAAGCCAAAAATTTGTCTACCAAATAAAACAGAAAAAGTGAACAGTATACTGCTGGGTTGCAATTTTTTTTTATTATATTGTACTTTATCCTAATCAAAGACTACCATTGAAACAAATACAGCAACTAAATCAAATGATGCACCATATTCACAAAAAGAAAGGAAGGAAGGAATGAAGGAAGGACCTGGCAAAAACAAGCCTAAGCTTTCTCAGTGATAACGGAAAGAGGGGATTTAGTTTTACTGTTGCAGTCAATTACCAGTAGCTGCTCACTTTCTTTGCCTTTTTTTCCCCTCTGTGCCTTTAGGGAATATTTCTCAAATTTTAGTGGCCATCAGGATTCCTGGGAGGGTTTCTTCGACCCTACCCCAGAGATTATGACTCAGTTGGTCTGGGGTAAGCCCTGAGAATCTACAATTCTAATAAGTTCTCTGGTAATGTTGATATTGCTGATGGGAGACCATACGTTGAAAACCAGTATTTTAGGAGTATCTTAAGAGTTTTATTTGATCATTTGTCTCCTCAATCACTTGAACTGCCAAGTTTTAATTTCTTAAAATAGCATTCTGGGATGAAAATAACAGCCATTTATTATGTGCTACAAATAATACAAGTTTTCTTCCTCACTGTAATTCAACAAAATATTTACTGAGAATTTCTAGCCACCAGGCACTGTGCTAAGCACTAGAAATACAAAAATAAGATTTTTCACATTTACCACCCAATAGAAGCAGCAAACATGTAACAAGTTAATTTCAGTCCAATGTGAACGTGTTAAGACAAACAAGAAAAAAAAATAATAAACCCCAAAGTGCCAAAAACTCTTCAGGTAATGAGGACCCAACAAATGCTACTGACAAAAATTTAGACCACTTACTTGACAGAAAAATGTAAAGCCTTGTAAGAATGTAAAAATCAATATGAAGGATCCGGAAGGAAGATGGCGGCATAGGAGGACGCTGGGCTCACCGTGTCCTGCTGAACATTTAGATTCCACCCACATCTGCCCAAATAACGCAGAAAACTGCCAGAAGACTAGCAGAATGGACTCTCCGGACCCAAGCGTAGACAAGAGGCCCATGGAAGAGGGTAGGAAGGGCAGAGAGGCGGTTCGTGCCACACAGACTGGCAGGAGAGAGCCAGAGAGGCGGAGGGGCAACCAGCCCACCCGGCAAGGCAGAGTGCCCGAGTGTGGCATGCAAAAGCAGAAGGGCCGGACGGAGTGTGTTCTGACAGCCAGTGGGACTTAACATCTGGAATGTTGTAAGTCAACAGCTCTGCTCCGAGAGCGGGAGGGCTAGAGAACAACGGGAGGGAAAGTTGTTGAGCCCCGAAGGATAGAGCTCAGCTTGGCGGAAAACAAAGGCGCTGGCCAGCACCATCTCCCTCGCCCATCCCCCAGATGAAATCCCAAAGGGAACCAGTTCCCTTCACGAACTTGCTTGCACTGCGCAAACACCCAATGCTGTGCTTCTGTGGATCCATCGCTCCAATGGGTCTGCCTCCCTCCCAATGCCACAGGGCCCCTCCCGAAGCAGACCACTGAAGGCAAAGCAATCTGAGTCTGCCCCTCCCGCCCCTGTGCACCTTGCGGATCCACCCCGGCTACTATGCCAGATCCCATTGAAGCAGCACCACAAGCCTGGCAGTGTGCAAGTAGCCCAGACAGGGGCCACACCACTGCACAGTGAGTCCTGCCCCTGGGAGAGGGAAAGATAAGGTACACACCAGTCTGACTGTGGCCCCAGCGGTGGGCTGGGGGCAAACATCAGGTCTGACTGTGGCCCTGCGCACCAAGCAAGTTACTCGAGACAGCACAGAGGAAGAGCCCTACAGTTCCGCGCCACTCCAGGGACTATCCAAAATGACAAAACGGAAGAATTCTCCTCAAAAGAAACTCCAGGTGGGGCACCTGGGTGGCTCAGTCGGTTAAGCGGCCGACTTCAGCTCAGGTCATGATCTCGTGGTCCGTGAGTTCGAGCCCTGCGTCGGGCTCTGTGCTGACAGCTCAGAGCCTGGAGCCTGTTTCAGATTCTGTGTCTCCCTGTCTCTGACCCTCCCCCGTTCATGCTCTGTCTCTCTCTGTCTCAAAAATAAATAAAAGTTAAAAAAAAAAAAATTAAAAAAAAAAAAAGAAACTCCAGGAAGTAGCGACAGCTAATGACCTGATCAAGAACAATTTAAGCAATGTAACAGAAAATGAATTTAAAATAATAGTCATAAAATTAATCGCTGCGCTAGAAAAAAGTACAGAGGACAGCAGAGAATCTATTACTACAGAGATCAAGGAGGAGTCAGAAGAGCTAAAAAATGATATAAATGAGCTG